TGTATTGAAGGCTTTTTTGTAGATTTCCGTACATGCCATCTGATATTCCCCAGGGCTTGCATTTGGGTCCCTTTTAATTTAAGATTATAGCAATGACGTGCTGAATGGTACCAAAATTCACATATAATACTTTTTTTTTATTATTATCCACGATTTCATTACCTACAGTCAGATTTGGTATAATTTGAATACTTTTGTATGTAAGACCAATTTATCTTAAATGCTGATAAAAAGTTATTATAGATTTCTAAATTATAGTAACCTTTACGCAAAAACTTAATCCCTACGATTTAATTAAACTTTATCAGGTATGGAAATAATAATAAATTATAATAATAGTTTTATAATAGCTTAAACTTTAATGTTAACACTATAAGGCTTGTATGAGATACTACGATAAAAGACAGAATACGCATATTTACAATGCCCCAAACATTTGCCCCACTGCTTTTAGGTCTCAAACCTGGGACCTCTGAATAGGAGACACCTTGAAACCCGTACGTACTACTCACACCACGAATCCAGTCAAAAAGTTAAACGTGATAGTAAATGAAATGAAAGATCTTTGTATAACCCTGGATTTGAATATCAAAACAAAATTGTTTCTAATGCTTATTTAAACAACTTGGAATTATTCTCACAACCGTTTAAAACCCTCTTCTCTACAAAAAAATCTTGTCTTCCCAGCATATTTTGAATTGTTTTTTTGGTAGTATTATCTGCAAAAGATTAAACAAAATACTCGTATGGTGTGTTAATCTTCGACTTATTTAATAAGTAAATCTACTGGATTATCATTTTTAATAAATAGTATAGAAAACATTATATTCTGTCGTTATATTCCCAGAAAATTCCAAATATTTCCGAAAACGACGCAACACTTAATGTGTTCCATCGTGTTTAATTATTTGAATATAAGGCTGGGCGCATATGTACGGTTTCTGATCAGGAATTCAGATTAGGAATTCCGTGAGCTTATCGTAAAAGTTACGTTTTTTTATTAGGAAGTTTCCAAACAGAACTTTGTGTTTTTTTCCATTCTGATAAAATAAGAATAGTGTGCTTCACCTTGTTGTGTATTTTGAACTTAAATTCAGGTGTCCGAATCGGAATTTCTGATCAGGAAATAATATTTGAAGTCGACCCCAAATATTAATTTGACTAAAGTTAAAAACGGTTTATTATTTTTTACTCTTCGGTGGTTTCATAATTTTTAAGGGTATAATTTTTGTGATATACGGCTAGGCGTTCAATTTTTTGAGTGTACAAGCACCCCTATTTTTCCACCCTTGGGGCAGGATTATTGTTTTTAATTTTTTCTGGGATCAATTTCGAGGTATGCTGTATCCAATACAAAAACAATAATTAAAATGGGACTACCTTGTAAAATTCTTGATAAAATAAATATAAGCGTCGAATTGATAATCTCTTCCATTGTTTCGTCGGTTGTAAAAACCGAAACGTCTGCGCTAAGCCGACGGAATTCCGATTCTAAATACCTGATCAGGAAACCGTACGTATGCGCCCAGCCTTAAAGGTAGTAGAAGGTTGCCATGGTAACTATCACTTAACTATATACATTTGCCCGAGGCTCATAACACTTCGTATCTCATCTCATTTGATGTAAAGTTTCACCTCCCCAGTCCCTGAACTCGGGTGTAACCTCTTCGTAGGGTAACCATAACTTAGAAACATTAGAGGACAGTATTTTAGGAGATTTTTATTTTAAAGAAGTTATTGTTTATTAAACTGTGGCAAGTTTGGTTGTACTGCAGTCTTCAATTTTATGCAATCATAAGAAAGAAAGAAAGATATAATTTATTGACCAACAAACAAAGCATAAATAAAACAAAAAAAAACACAGAATAAGGTCAACTAGGTCCCTGCCTCAGTACAATGCCACAACGACATTAAGGCCGCTGCGGCGCTGATATTATAAATATTTTATTAATATTTTAATGTCAAGTCGTATTATGAAATTAATATAAATAAAAAAAATTGCTAAATCACAATATGATGTGAAAACCATTTGCTGATAATATGTCAAAGGACATGGTAAAGTTTTGTATGAGCGACTGCCCTGGCAATGTATAAATACTGTACTTAGTAATAGTTAATGGTAAAAAGCTAAGTATTTATAATTTCTATGAAAAAAGGCTCAGGAACTTTTGATAAAGTCACAATCTTGAAAATTATGAGAACTCCTACTATGTCATTACCTTACTAAAGTTGATAAAAGATGTTGACAATTATTTACAGAGTGATCAATTTCGCATTTTCTTAGAATCTTTCTTCCCATTTCTCTTTATAACTCTTCAATAAAAAGTTTTTATAAAGCAAAAATAAATACAAATAATTTGTTATCGTCGGCCTGACAGGTAATCTGTGAAGTTTTATTTTGTCCATTTGCAAAAATTAAAGGATTAATTATCATACAGCCTTGTCTCAAGCCTAATCAGAATAATAAAATCTATTATTTTAGGCCTTCCGTGATTTGTTGTAACAAAAAATAGGGCCAAATATGTCATAGTTTGAAGGAGTTTAGAAATAATATTGTTTCTTTCGTTAAACTTACACAGATATATATTTTGCGTATATTTATTGTTCATTTATTTTGTAAAACGGAACATTTTGCTTTTGAAACAGACATGGAAGTGAATTTTTATAATTTTAAATATTTGATTATTTCACGAAAGTTGTATGAGAATAATAAACACGTAATAATTAATAAAAAAATATTGTAAAGTTACGGGCTAGTGCGAAATATTTATACACGTTAAGGGCAGTTTCTTAGCCATGTCCTTTATAACTTTAACGAGGTATCTATCTACGATTCACGCTGAGTCCCGGGTGGGATAGGCAGAGAGATGTGTGTGTGTGTGTGTGTGTGTGAAAATGTATCAAATCAAATCTATATTTTCACAAAATTTAAATTAACCGCGTTCGCGAGATCGAATACGGTTGCTCGTATCAAAATGACTAAAAGAAAAATAACCCAAATTATCAAGTTGTAAGTTTGACATACTTTATCCATAAACCTAAAAAATAATGTCACCCTATTGGTGAATAGCCTTCAGAGGTCATATTCGGGTGAACGAATGGACCCTTTATTACTCGCATACAAAATAAAATTTAGGTACACGAAACAATGCATATTGTTATTTAATTAAAGGACAAATGTAACGCTATCTCTCTAACTTTGAAGACCTTACAATTGATTACTTTTGCGGTTTGCGCACTATCAGAGTATATCCAATATTTGTAGGTAAAATGCGTTAAGATCTAAAACGAAGATTATAACATCGATTGCTGTCTGGATCAATGCACTAACCAGTATCTGGTAAAATAGATGAAACTAGAAAAAAATGGTGAAAAGTGAAACTTTTGAAACTAGTAATTCAAAATATAAATTGAACCCGGACCACCCGTGTAGCAGGCGAGCTTTCTACCACTGCCACTGAACCCCGATGCTTATTGATATGGTCTGAATTTTAGTAACAATTAAAAAAGTAAAGTTATATGTCAAAGATGAACGAAAAAATATGTGAAGATGTCTTAAAAGTTTCATTTTCAAAATCGATTATTATATTTCCTTTGATATTTGTTATCGGCTGGATAGCGTAAGGTGCTACTTATTTTAAGTGACTTTTAAGGCTGATTTACACTGGAGCAACACTGCATGCGGCATGCCACAAGGCCGCATGCTACAATTATAAAAAATGTCCCACATTGCGGCAGGAATCCTGGGGCATGGCAATATATTTCCTCTTGTGGCAAAGCGTCGCAGCTTGTGTCCGAACACAATGGATTACATCCGACATTTTTGGGACAACAAAACAGTTTGTAGGTTATTTGTTTTTATAGTGAGAATTATTGGTCATGGAGTGGTGTAACCAAAAATATTCAGACTTCATTGAGGATTATAGACAGAGTGAAGTGTTGTAGGATGTCCGCTATTCAAATTATAAAGACAATAAAGTAAAACGTAATATATTACTTGGTCTTGCGCAATATACGATTATGATGAAGAGAGTTTCAAATAGAAAATAAAGAACTTCATAAGCGCTCCACCATGACACGACAATTCTTTGAAATGATCTAGGTATGATGTTGCCTTGGGGCTCAATAGACTGCTGCTGCATATTGCAAATGCCGCAAAATGTTTCTATTTGTAGCATGCCACCAGATGACCCATGTCATAACATATAGCATGCACCCCTGTCGTATGTTGTTGCCTCGGCGTAAATCAGTCTTAACGTACGATCAAACCAATTCAATTCTGACCCACTTGCCCGATAACTCGCTTAAAGGTGTCAAAACTGACAAGATTTTCTTTGTAAAAAGAATACGTCATTGCAATAAGGACTTTAACAACAAGAAAAATGTGTTAATGTAGATCAAAGATTTTTCAAATTTGACTTGATTGATTTTTACTTACAATAAATTTGACCTTTATGTTCATGTCATAGATAAAATTGGAAATAGTAGTTTGAGTTTCGAAATGACTTTTAATATCTTAAATGTGAATGAAACTCTTCCTCTTCATGACATAAATAACGTTGGTTAATAGGGGAATCCTAAATCCACGTTCAAAACTCCAAATAACTTAAAGTCAAAATTTCACAGGAAGGCAGCAAAATCGATCAGGTCAAATATGATTATTCAGAAAATAACAAGTTTGTTTCATTTTGAAAAGGTAGTAACAAAATAAGCTTATGGTGGGTCAGGAATCAAATTGGCAGATTGTACAATTAAAACACAAAAGTGCGTGGCGGTTACGTTCATTGTGGTACTAACGTAACAAAATAGATATTAACTATAAACTTTCAATTGTTTCAGATCAAAAGTTGGCGGTAACTTCTATCTAGTCCATGTAGTACAATAAAAATGTTGATTCAGTTTAACTACTAGTTGTTAAAAGTCTTGTCTTGGTAGATAATCTACTTAGGAACGCGAAAGACGCATTCGGAACAGAAGAAGGCAGTGAAAATATTAAAGATATGGACACAAAATCGGATGACATTGAACTAAGCGCGCAGGGAACAAGCAACAAAGCCAGGTGATAAAAATCAGAAAAAAATTCAACGTTAATATTGTCCCCATTGCATAATACAATATCTATCGTAGAATGGTGAATCCTAGGGATTTTGCAAAATCGCTGATAATTATAAATAATGGCGATGGCATTTCTCAACCTTACTGAAAAAAGAGAGGATTTTTGGAATAATTCGAGTTGCTCCAGTAAGTTTGCTAAAGGAATCGTTGGCCAATTATAAATATTCTCAGGTTATTTGGCTACTTTGGTTCATACTAGTTAGAAAGCAGAAAATCCGAGGGGGTAAGTGTTGCGACCATGATTGCGCCAGAAAAAATATTTCGTAAATATTAAGATTGACTAATGTAATCGCCATTGTCTAATTATCTGGGTTTTCGCAAAACCATTAGGATATTGCGGATTTTTGGAATTCAATTTATCAAATCATCCTTCGACATACACATTAGGACACCTGGAATTACTAAGTGGGTACGAATTACTGTCGACGCAAATATAGCCAACGTTTTAACGAACTAAGAACCTATCGAAATAGGAAGGAGCTAGAGATAATATTTTTTTTGTGACTCATCCAATGATTGTTGAATCACTGCGGAAGTCGTTTGCATCCACGATCATATTCCGGACGCACTAGCCACTGTATCCGGGCTCTGTCATCCACAGATCCTCATCATTACAAATATTGTTCTGATTTAGGATCCCATAATTTCCAGTTAAGTTGTATCTAGCATATTATTTTATTTATATAAAAAGGTGGCAAACAAGCATATAGCATGCCTGATGTAGCTGTAAAATGTAAGCTGCCGCCATAGCATACAGAAGCCTGCGATACAAGAGTATTACTTTAAATCAAGAATAACTTTAGTTTACGGTTTTGTATAATGGTGGCTACAATATCATTTAAGCGGTTGGCAGAGCATTAATGATCGGATGGTAAAGTATAACTAGTTCTAAGAATTTATGCTAGTGACCATCTTTAGTCTTGGTATTCTTACAGCGACGTGGCTATCAAGTCGGGTAAATCCGATCTGCCAGAGCGGGGATCATGGGCCAGCAAACTCGACTTCATTCTGTCCGTGGTCGGCCTGGCCATTGGTTTGGGCAACGTGTGGAGGTTCCCCTACCTCTGCTACAAGAATGGTGGCGGCGCTTTCCTCATCCCCTACTTCTTGACTCTCTTCTTGGCTGGTATTCCGATGTTCTTCATGGAGCTGGCGATGGGCCAGATGCTTACCATCGGTGGATTGGGCGTGTTCAAAATTGCACCAATTTTTAAAGGTATGTTTGATAATTTTGTTTCACTGTTTTTAGATGCCTTATCTGAAATGATGAATACTGATATTAGTAAGTAAAATATTTTTATAAATTAACGATATAGGAGAATTACTGTCCTAACTAATGGCATAGCGTGCTTTTTGAATTATTAAAGACGAATTTGGTTTACACATTTGCAATTACCACTGTTTATTCTAAGCTACCATTATTGGTAGTGTAGCATTACACTCCCCTACGAGGGGTAGAAGAGTGTAGCGGAAGAAAGGTGTTTAAGAAAAAGAAAAGAAATAATAAAATTTGAAAGAACTTAAAGAAATAGAACTCCAAGGACTACTAAGAGAAATATAGAAAATGGTAAATAACACTGTAATTTATTTTGTAGAAGGACTAATATAATACAGAAGAAGAGAGAGAGAGAAGCTTATTAAGTAAAAAAGAGAACCAAAACCGCACTCAGGTATAGGCTGGGCTAGCACGAACACACGTCAGAGGATAGGTTGGTCACTACGCGCACTGCGAATATTATGCACTTAGGAGAGCCGGTACGCTCAGGAGTAGCGGCGCACCAGCCAAGCCAAGGAGAACCGGAGATTGAAGAGAAGCACGAAGATATGTTTTGTGCAGAGTTATTTTCGCGGAGCCTTCTAGAGTCCCAGGCCTATGCCAAAGGCCCGGGAACGGCCAGAACTATAGTGTGTAGTTTGCGAGTGAAACTCGACTAATGGATCATGAGCTAGGGGCTAGCGGTTTTTATATTGCTTGACGTTTAATTTTGAAATCCGAAAGAAGAAAAATTAATTAGAATAAGACAAAAACAAAACATATTTTTTTTTTAAGAAAACGTTTATGGTCTCTCTCGGCAGATATACATATATCAAAAAGAAATGGAAAATTAAAAGTGATTGAAACTATTTACATGACGGAGAAAAAGTTATGAACCCGAAATGACGTGACGGAGAAAAAGTTATGAACCGGAATGAAAATGAAAATCAATAATTTAAACAATAAGAAATCTTAGGTAAATATTTATATATGAAGTGAAGCGGCGAGTAAATAGATACCGAGAAAGTACCATAAACATAGAATTTTGAAAAGTTAAGAGCCAAAAATAGGTTTTCAATAGAGAAGTTAAAACTAGCTTATAATTAAGAATTGGAGCGACAGACGGACACGCCACAGTAGATATGAATGAAATTGAGCTCTTGCATATTTTTTTAACAAAATTGTAAAATGATTCGTATTTCTGGTTTATCATAAGTAACAATTTTATTGCCATCTCAGGATTTAACATCTAAAAAATGATTTAGATATTATGCAGTGCAAGGCTTCAATGCTGTAAAATTTCAGCGCAGCATTTCACTGAATAAGATATTGAAGCAAATTAGCTCGTAAAACTCTAGAATCGTTAAAACCTCAAACGATCTCATTCGAAAAGCCCCATTGAAGAAGATTGAAGACGATTTAAATCTTTGGATTTAAGGCGATAAACAAAGAAAGTTTTCTCGAAGAATTTTCATATTGCCTTCTTTGCGGCATGCTTAAAAATATATCAAATCTTCAAACAATAGCTGTCAGTGATGGTATCTCATCCCTCGTCCTACAATTAAGGAGCACCGAATTGGTTCCGCTTTAGTGTTCTTAGCTTTGTTATTTGCGTCTTTTAAGCCATTGACTTGATTGAATACCATTTGCGGCACCTGCTATAGTTTTCTGATGCTACGTTGATTTAGATTGAGATGCCCAAGACGAGATAACGCATTAAAGTTATTGTTACGGTTTAAAAACTTTTCCATGTTATTGAATGAATTGTCAGTGATTTAGAAGGCATGTGTAAAACCTTTGATTGCGCCTTTACTTGTTCGTAATATACTATTCAAAATAGGCTGAAGTATGTTAAAATAGTGAGTTTATAAAGATTAAATATTTTATTTCTTTATCTATTTTAGGTATTGGGTACGCGGCAGCTGTGATGTCATGTTGGATGAACGTTTACTATATCGTTATCCTGGCTTGGGCTATTTTCTACTTCTTCATGTCGATGCGATCAGGTTAGTAACCAAAAACGAAGTACAAATCAAATAGGGGTGAAAATCGAGAGAAATTTTCTCTCCTTTTTGTATATGAGAAGCCTCAAGAGGAGTAGAGCTCAGCAGAACTTCCGTTACAATCACACTAATATTATAAAGGCGAAAGTTTGTGAGTGTGTATGTTTGTTACTTCTTCATGTCTAAATGGCTGGAGCAATTTAATAAAGTTTGTTATGGATTTAGCTGACATCCAAAATGTCCCTAATAAACCGCGGGTAGCACCGCGGGGCACCGCTAGTAGAAATAGAATTTAGGTGAAGGCATTTTCAAATTTTGGCTATAAAAATTCGATCCCAAAATAAAAACTTCTTAGTTCTGAGATTACGATCTATTGACGACAGTCTCGGTTTATCATAGCAAGAATAGTTATGATTTTATTTATTTTTTAAGCATTTAACTGCTAGATGTTTAAATCTAAACCGGATAGCGAAGGATGCGGGTTCGAGTCCCGTCCGCTGCCTGGTCCGCGTGGATTTTTTTCTAGTAAACTTTTCTTTAGATTTTTTTCTAGTAAACTTTTCTTTATAGCAAGAATACTTAGCACCAGGTGGGTTTATTACATAAAAAATATGTTTTACAGATTTACCATGGCGCAACTGTGATAACTACTGGAACACTGCCACCTGCGTCAACCCCTACGACCGTAAGAACCTCACGTGTTGGTCGTCACCCATCGACATGAGCACCTACTGCACCCTCAACGGCAAGAATGTCAGCAAAGCCCTCCTCTCCGATCCCGTGAAGGAGTTCTGGGAGTAAGTTCTTATAACTATCTTTGGCACACTAAAAATTTGCGGACTGACCATTCAAATCAATGATCGCATTAAAAGTAAGTTCGATATATGAACCTGAGCTTTGAACACGCAGCACTTTCATTCGTTTTTACTTTTGTTTCATCTATTTGGCACATGTATTTACATTTACGTCGCATTTTGTTTTATGCATACATTTCCATTTTTGTTGAGTGATTTACCACGATTTATTGTAGATTATTGCTCAGCTGAGCCATACTTTAGAGCAATACTTATTGATTCGTCTAAATACATTATTGCTGTCATCGATTTAACAGTGAATTTGTTAGTGATGAATATAACCTATTTCTTCGTGCACATTCCATATTATTTCAAATTAAAAAAAAAAATCCTTATTTTCCTAAAGATTTTAAAACCATTATTGAGAATTTATGATTCAACGCTAAGATTGAAGATTGTCAATTACCTTATTCACATAATATTATTTAAGATATTAAAAAACACTTTTCTCCTGTATTCCACAGGCGACGAGCACTACAGATCTCCAGCGGGATCGAGAACATCGGCAACATCCGCTGGGAGCTGGCCGGCACCTTGCTGCTTGTGTGGGTGCTGTGCTACTTCTGCATCTGGAAGGGCGTGCGGTGGACCGGAAAGGTCGTCTACTTCACGGCGCTGTTCCCGTATTTCTTGCTTACTGTGCTGTTAATCAGAGGTGAAGATGCTATTATAGGGTCCTATTTGTGGAGATTTATAAATAGCATTACTTGATTAAAATTGAGTATTTACGGTTGATATTGCTATGTTAATTATCCAACAAATAAATGAATAAAACAAAAATAAACATACAAATTAAAACTAGTTTTAACGGGTTAATACACGAACTTTATTTATTTATTGACGTTTCGCAGCCTTTTCAGCTCGACAAAGTAAATAAAAAATCATTATTCTGACGATGCAGGCCTGAAAAGGCTGCGAAACGACAATAAATAAATAAAGTTCGTGCATTAACCACAAATATAAATATATAAGTCCACAGAAGGGAAACTTTATCAGAAACTTAAGATTGAATTTAAGTTTTTTTTATAAACTCAATATCTGGAGTTATTCAATTATTTAGTGCATATTTTATTTTGTCAAAATTTTTGCTACTGTTGAATACACAATAAAATCTAAAATGCAAGAAAATTATAGAAACTAGACTACTGATTGCGGAAAAAGACAATTTTTGAAATTGTGACGGTATCGAGGTCAAGACAAACTACGTAGACGGCATGTTTTATGGACGATTCCTTACTTAAGATTTCAAAGTCACATACATACTAATTCTACTACAACATTAAACATGCTTACTTTATTGTAAGATTATTCTTAAACCGCTTCATTTATTTTTCCTTTTAAAGTAAAATCTATATCTATTTGATCTCAGGTATAACTCTCCCTGGTGCGATGGAAGGCATCAAGTTCTACGTGATGCCGAACATGTCCAAGCTCATGGAGTCCGAGGTGTGGATCGACGCCGTCACCCAGATCTTTTTCTCATATGGGCTGGGCTTAGGCACCCTGGTGGCTCTTGGAAGCTATAACAAATTCACTAATAATGTTTACAAGTAAGTTATAAATTGTGATGACTTTAAGGGATGCAATAGTTATAATATTTTTTGATGGTGATACTAAAGATGAAAGTTCAGGTATAATTATTTTAAATCTGTGATACAGATTGAACTAGACTATATAGAAAAAATACAATCGAATCAAGCAGATTAGAAGTTAAAATAAAAAAGATATGCGATGAAAAACTACATTCACTTAGCTTTTGAATTTTTGCAGTAAATCATCTGATCTATTTTTGGGTATTTATTCAAAGGAACTCTACCGCCTTTTTTACTATTATAATGAAATTTTAATTAACTTCTATTTCAATACTAAAATTTTACTAGGTACCTATAAGATGATACAACGGTAGCAATGCTTTAATAGCTATGGGTTCGAACCCCGGTAGGGATATTCTTTTAAGTCGTGAGCATAAATATTTTCTTGCCTAGCCATGCTTGTCCATATGCAATCTATACAAGTTAAAAGCTCCGCTCATTTTCGGGCTCAATAATTGTTGAATATCATTCATCAACCAATCATGTTTTGTTACAGAGATGCCTTGATAGTGTGTACAGTCAACTCTAGTACTTCAATGTTTGCTGGCTTCGTAATATTCTCGGTAGTAGGTTTCATGGCTCACGAACAACAGAGACCAGTAGCGGAGGTGGCCGCTTCAGGTTAGTTCATTTCAGTATGTTGTTGTTTATCTGCATTAAAGTTTATTTCTTACAAAAGTCCGGGTGAATTAAATAAATAAATCACTCTTCACTGTTTGTGCTTTGACTTAGACATATAGTACGTACGGAAATTACAATATCTATATGTACATATAGATATTGTAATTTCCGATTATATTCAGGAACGGAAGGAATTTAAGGGCTTTTTTCCTAACGCTATGAAATCAAAAGTCAGCAAACAACATTTTAACAACTTGCCCAAATGAAAAAAATGTGACTTTTTTTATAGGTAAAACTTTTTCCCAATTCTACTTTTTCCTGCTTAAACTTATGTGGTTTCTTCAATTACGTTAATAAGCAGACAATAAAACTAATTTCCTGTTTCTACATCCTATAACCATAAACGTAATGTTCAAAAAGGAAATAATAATTATATTTGACAAGTATTCTTCTTTCATCAGGTCCTGGCTTAGCTTTCTTGGCGTATCCGTCAGCGGTTCTACAACTACCCGGCGCTTCGCTCTGGTCCTGCCTGTTCTTCTTCATGCTGCTGCTCATCGGCCTCGACAGCCAGTTCTGTACCATGGAGGGCTTCATCACAGCCGTCATCGACGAGTGGCCTAAACTCCTTAGGAGGAGAAAGGAGATTTTCATAGCTATCACTTGCGTCATATCGTATCTGGTCGGGCTATCGTGTATATCTGAGGTTTGTAGGAATTATATTAAGATACCAAATTCCTAAAATTCTCAAGATTTTTTGGTTCATTTCAAAAATTTATTAAGTTTTCCATCATATTGCGTTAGAAGTAAAAGCAGTACTGTAAGACGTCTCATATTAGAGAAATTTATAAAAACCAATTAGTTTTTATAAAAAAATTACCATACTTTGGCAATCTACTCAGACATGACAGTAGCTTGATCTCTTTAAAATGCACATGTTTTTTGAAGAAAAATAGTTGCATGTCACATACAACATAATAAGAGGGTTCTTTATAATTAAAAAGTAAAAAGCCGATGATAAAAAGTCAAATTATTAAGTTTCATAATGTCTCTTTATTCATCAATTGGAACTTTGTATTTTATTCCTAGGGCGGTATGTACGTCTTCCAAATCCTGGACTCGTACGCGGTGTCCGGCTTCTGTCTGCTGTTCCTAATCTTCTTCGAGTGCGTGTCGATCTCGTGGGCGTTCGGCGTCAACCGCTTCTACGACGGCATCAAGGAGATGATCGGCTACTACCCCACCATCTGGTGGAAGTTCTGCTGGGTCGGGTTCACGCCGGCTATTTGTATTGTGAGTATAGATTTATTACTCGTTTGCGTTTATCACCTCTTCATTCACATCTATCTATGAATCATGAATAAAAAATGAACCGTCGAAATGTATGTACGCGCATAACTAACGAAGGACTGTACCTTATAGTGTTTTTTTCTGCTGACAAGACAATTTTTAAATACTTAGCCTATGCATAAACCCAATTTAAAATAATCATGTATTCGGGATTATGTTTCGGTATTAAACTACTGAATATTTCAAAAATGTCATCAATATGATTTATCATATCGATATAATGTGTGATGGAGTAGTAATTTCACAAAGTTCATCTTGTTTCACAGAGCGTGTTCATATTCAACCTGGTGCAGTGGACGCCCATCAAGTACATGAACTACGAGTACCCGTGGTGGGCGCACGCCTTCGGCTGGTTCACGGCCATCTCCTCCATGCTCTGCATCCCCGGATACATGGTGTATCTGTGGCGCGTCACGCCCGGGACCAGGCAGGAGGTAACTCCGCGTTATTTAATACTTCTTATACTCCACCATGCTGAGTTTGAGACAAAAAATTATGTGTATCTTTTGTTTATATATTTTGTTACTGTTATTTGTCTCAAAATTTTTTTTTCTTTCTTCTTTCTTTCTTCTTACTTCTCAGAGATGTATTGAGCTCGTGTCGCATCGATTGTTAGTTTTAGCCTTCCAAAGGATTTCCACTTCGACCGGTCTTAGGTTCTCCATGTCCAGCGACTTCCCATGGCTTTCACCAGATCGTGTCCGTATGGAATCATAACCCTAGCCCTCAGAATAGAATGGCGTAAGTTCGTAGAGATATTGGCTAGTTCACTGCCATCTCCTCCATGCTCTGCATCCCCGGATACATGGTGTATCTGTGGCGCGTCACGTCAGGGACCAGGCAGGAGGTAACTCCGCATCATTTAATACTTCTTATACTCCACCATGCTGAGTTGGGACCGATTTGAGACAAAAAATTATGTGTATCTTTTGTTTATATATTCTTTTACCGTTTTTTTGTCTCAAATAAAATTTATTTTTCTTTCTTCTTATTTCTCAGAGATGTGTTTAGTTTGTGTCGCATCGATTGTTAGTTTTAACCTTCCAAAGGATTTCCACTTCGACCAGTCTTAGGTTCTCCATGTCCAGCGACTTCCCATGGTTTTCACCAGATCGTGTCCGTGTGCAATCATAACGCTAGCCCTCAGAATAGAATGGTGTAAGTTCGTAGAGATATTGGCTGGCTCACTGCCATCTCCTCCATGCTCTGCATCCCCGTATACATGGTGTATCTGTGGCACGTCACGCCCAGGACCAGGCAGGAGGTAAATCAGCGTTATCTTATATTTCTTCTTATTTCTCAGAGATGTGGCTAGCTCAGGTCACACCGATCGTTAGGTTAGGCCTTCCAAAGGATTACCACTTCGACGGGTCTTGCGTTCTCCATATCCAGCGACTTCCCGTGGCTTTCACCAGATCGTATCCGTGTGCATTCATTACCGTAGCCTTCAGATTAAAAGGGTGTAAATTCGTAGAGATATTGGCTGGTTTACCGCCATCTCCTTCATGCACTGCATCGCCGGCTACATGGCATATCTGTGGCACGTCACGCCACGTTCGTTACGTTCGTCACGTTCGTTAGGTGCTGGTTAAGTCCAGACTCGAAGATAGCTGGTGATAAACTGTCACACTTGTAGGAAGGCCAAAGGGGAAGATCTTCCTCCGAGCTGGATGATGGTAGCTCGGGGGCCACGGCCCGACTGATTTTGGTGGGGCATCGTATATATGAAGAGTTAGCCTCCGAATTTCATTTGCGAAATGCAGGCTTCCATACTAATATTGATCGCAGTGCAGGTAACGCCATCTCTTGAGGATGGTGAGTAATGATTTCATACATCCGTTGTATATCTGTGGGGCATATAGATGTCGCCGCCACACACTAATCAACTTCACCTTGCTGGCCTGCAGAAATACTCCTTCATGCATTTTTTAATGGACCCCAGTTTGTAAGAATAAGGGTACACGTGCGATGGCAAAGAATAGTTATTATTTGATGTGGTCCAATAAAGATCTAGTCAGTTTTTAATCTAGTCATTATGCGATGTAATCTCTTTGAGATCTAGACGAAATGATATCTAGTCTTTTGCGATATAGTCATTAATGGACCACCATTAATGACTTTATCGCAAAAGACTAGATATCGACAAAGAAATGAGCTTTGTTCGTGTGGGAATAGTTGCCGCAGTAAGTCGGTGACAACGTAGGCCAACGCGCGTGGTTCCTTTGAAGGAAAGGGGAAGGTGGCATAAAGGAGAAACCTCCTTGTGGGGAAAGGGAGAATTACACTTGCCGTGGTATAGTCGGTAGAATGCGCTTAATGATAGCATCGTAATTGTAGAGACTCGAGTTTGTCAGTTACCTCGAATGCCTGGGCAAGGCAAAACGTCTGTCTCGCTGTAAAAGAATCCTCCACCTCCCCGTTAATTTTCCATAATTGGGGGCTTAGTAAAAGGAACAGAACACTACCTTCTGCACCGGTTACTCGACATGCATCTTGAGACCCAGGCCCGACCAAGAAGCGTATCGAGAGTGTGGGTGTGGTGTGGTCGTGGCGTCCTGTTAGGATTGGACTCACAGGGAAATATTATACCGAGGCGTTTTGTTTCCTAAGGCTGATCTATAAACAGAGAGAATTGAGTGAACGTTCCTTATTGAACTGTAAGATGATACTGGTCAGATAAACGTAAGAAAGAGGTAGCAATCGTGCTGCAAATAAGAAGTTTTTGCTTTTAGTTATGCAGGAGAAGCAGCTGGTAGTCCATCTGATGATAAGTGTTGACTAGCGCCCATGGGCATTTGCAGCACCCGGGGTACCACTCATACGTTGACGAGATGTATTTAAACAAATTAAAAAAAATTGACACATCAATAGATTTACATTTTATATTGAATATTGGATATATTAATGAATTATTCAATATACTCACAATTTAATCGACTATTCAGCAAAAACAAAATCATAAAAAGACATTGTATAATTGAATTTATATTTATACACATAGTGCTGTAAATTATTTATTTATTTATCAAGTTCATTTATCAATCGGGATGTTAACATTTTAGTGGATTTACGTTTTCTTGTCAGAGTGCTCAATTATTTGATAATGGACAAACGTACATTATGTTAAATTGTTTTGCGGAAATTATATTTGTATGCCATATGAAGCTGATCACGGCTGCACAATTTAACACCCATTTTAAAAGTAATATAGGTGTTAAAAGTAACCCATGTATCACAAATAAGTATTTGATTGATCGATTGAAGGTTTACCTGCCTTTTAGAGTTTGTATAGGTATTGGCTGTATCGCCCCTTTCTCGCTTTCTAAAGAACTGTCAAGAGCTTCTGACAAAGGCTCTGTTCCGGTAGACCTAGAGGCGCTATTTCTCGTCACTTCAATTTTGTAATGCCCGAAATAAAAATAATAAAAATTTGAGAATTAAAATCACCATAGCAACCAAGTTTAACTTGGGAAGCCATTTAAAATGGAAAAGTTACTCATGGAGACGAATCAAGTAACAATATTATAATTAAGTTAGGCAACATCAATAAATAATTTCTTAACAATGTATATGGATGACATTAATCAAATAAAACATTCTGAAAATGGAAGATTACATAAGACTTGGTACCATATTTAGTAGGAGTTAAATATGCTGTTATAGCTAACTGATTTTGGTATTTGTATGTGTCGTGGCGTGGGTGTAAAGATTTATTGATGTCCAATAAATAAAACTACTAAAAACTGTATCCGTTCGAATAGTGAAACATCAATACTTCTGATTTTTAACCGACTTCACAAAGTTGGAGGTTCTCAATTCGTCATTATATTTTTGCTTGAAAATTGCTAGGTTCGAATTTCGTTAAGGTATTTTTGATGTGTAACATCTTTCCTCTCGCTTTCCTGTAATTTGTGGGAGTGATTTCGTGAAATGGGACGGAAGTGTGTAACGGGAAGTCGCGAAAGCGCGCGCTATTTGATTTTAGTACATAATGTTCAAATGGCTTATTCCTTTTGTAGTAGGTTTTATTTTTGTAACTAGCATAATTTTTGTTGAACTCATGGTTGTTGATGTTCAAGTTCATGAATTACATTAAGTGTTGAGAGTGCAGTTTCTGTTTACTTCGAGTCTTAACATTTATCGTGAGTTATCCCAGGTTAATTATTATTTTATGTTAAGTATGACTTACTAAATAGTGAACTAGTTGTGATGCTGTAATGTATTCACATGTCATAACTCAACTTTGAATGGCAGTTGCTCCAAATACGCTGTCACTATCTTTTAACGATTAAAATATAATTATGTTAACAACTTAATAGCTTTTTTTTAATCAAACCAACTTTTTCTATTTACTGTAAAGTTACCAGTCGCTTAATTCTATATTTTCATTTATTTCCAAATTATACCAAAGAATATAATTTGTAATATGCATTTTAAAATTCATTTAAGTATATAAATATTCCTGAAACTTATGTATGTATAATTACGAAATCCCAAACGTATAATAACAGTAACCTGAATGTATAGATTACTTTCATTTACTTATTCACAGAAATTCAACAAAATTGTTCGTATCCCAGAAGATGTACCGACACTCCGAACCAAAATGCAAGCTGAGGAGTTAGCGAAGCACAACAAAGCTTAAAACTTTGACTACTTAACACCTTATGGATCTCAAGGAGATGAGACGGTCAAGTGTCATTTTTAATCAGAATACCTTTTAATTTTTTGCAATTATCAGTAAACAATGGTCCTCCACGATAAAAAGTCAATGTAACATACAATACTTAAATGAATCAATTTGTTTTTAAATTTTGTAAATTTTGTTAAGTACCCAATTTTGTTTTGATTTAAGACAAAATTGGGTATTTGAAGAAATGAAAAATATTGATTGATATTGAAAAAATCATGAATATAAAAAACAATATGTTATCGTCCTGTCATATCCAGTAGAAATTATGTCAATTCAAAAAAAGTACGGCTTGTATTGAGGAGAGTAAGATCACGCACAATATTATTATACCTACTTATATTATTGAATGATCGAACTTAATTTGCGTAAACTCTATAATTAAAGAATATTAAAGATTAAAAATTAAATGTTCAATATTAAATGTTCCGTTTATTTAAATTTGTGTACAGATATTTTAATGTATCCTGTATAAACCAAATGTATAATTTATGCTTTTAAACAAAAATATACATTATATGTACTTCGCGTATTAATTATTGTTATAAAACAGTATTATTATCACTGTATGTTTATGTTAGTTTTGTGTGACATAATATCTAAATACGATTTGGTCAAAAGATATTATATAAATTACTAGCTAGTCTTAATGAAGATTTGACGACTTGTTGGGTGCGTCGCGACGCGTTCATGTGTATTTATAATTTACGCTATATTTTAAGTGTTACTTTACGTTAATTTAAGCGAGTTACTAAATAAATGACGTTAACTATCTGTTATTACTGTCTTCCATTTAACTATGTTAGATAATTATATTAACTTTAAGCAAATTTGACTATAGGTTTATTAACTTCTTCGTTCTAGTCAGGATTTAGTGCAATACCACCCAGCCTGGAGGGGAGCAGCCATATGCAGCTATCATCTCTGTCAAAGAGCAAGCCAGGTCATATATATATCTAAGTGAATGTTAATATACTAAAATAGATATACATCGGTTAGACTTGCACCCTGGCTGGATTTAACTACTTTAGCACAGTGGTTTGATTGATAGGTCATGTCATTATTTTCAGTTACTAATTTATATTCTGTTCATTTCTTGGTACCTACTGTATTAATAGAAAATCTTAAGCGCAAAAATATGTATTTTGTTTTAATTAGTGGATAATGAAGTTGGTCGTACAATAATTTAAGGTGTCACCTGTATTACAATACTATTTGTTTAATGAGAATTGTACCACTGTTTTTTGTCCTGAATAAAATAAAAATAAAAAATAAAAATATAGGCATATCATATTTATACATACACATATAAAGAGGAGTCAAAGATAATGGTATCATGTTATTGTTTACGACTAAGTGTGTCATTATTGCACTTTTGATTTTTTCAATTGCAGTGCAGAACAGAATTTGTTTAGAAAAAAAATCGAGATCGAAATCGATAATTTACCATTAAAATTAATGGTAAAATACGCTAATGACCCTTACAGGTCGCGTCTGTGTGATTCTATGAGTCAGAAATGACCCAATGGAATATATTAAAAAGTCACTAGCAATCCTATAATTATACATAAATGTTAACCTATATTTTTTTGACCAAAATAATATTTAGAAAACATTGAAACCTAAGTTAATTATTAAACATCCATAGATTTCATTTATATAAATTGTATGAGTAATTCTGACTAGAATAAACTAATTTATTCTCTTTCTCTTAATTGGTAATTTAGATAATACCACGCGTATATAAATAAAATCCTTAAAGGAAGTATTTTCTTAAGTTTGTTATTATGTATTTAGTGATAAAAATGAAAACAGATCGATTATCGCAAATTAGAATTTGATATAAGTTTAAAACTCTATAATACGAGTGTTTGAATCTGCATGGTGTTTGAAATATAATACTTATATTTAAAATAACGACACACAATATTTTTATAAAGGTTCTTTTTATTTATATATTTTATGGAAACCTACAGGTCATTTATAAAGATGAGCCTATTTTCAAAACCGTGGTCGTGTTTTTCATATCGTAGAATAAGAATTTTTTGAATATTTTTGGTTTAACAGCTTTAATTTAATAAAATATAATAAAATTTTTAACGACTGCAATTATTAGAAAAGGTAGTATATTGAGTGAAAATTACCTTCAGAGTCTACGAGACCTTTATTTAAGCCTAGCGAAATAAAATTCTGTGTTCCAAATGAGACCAAATCTTTACAATAACATAAAATATTTACTCTATATCTTTCTTATACTGTAGATTTTATAAAGCAACTATGCAACTTCGCCAATTAAATCTTACATAACAGCCGTCGGATGTTTTTTATTCTACTAATAAACGATTTGTATAATTATATTATACATCCAATTTATTAAACTTGGTATTTCATAAAATATATCGACTATACATTTATTTATTTTGGAGCAAAGTTGAGATTTTTAAAATATTTACTTATTTTATACCAATACCTATTATAATAACGTTTTGGATTTTAAATATATGTATGTTATATGAAAATATATACTAACGTAATTTACGTGTTCATAATTAGTAAATGTATTTAGAGCATGATCGTGTATTTGCTGAGTCAATTCGTATAAGATTTCAAAACTAGTTATTCGAAGTGAACATTCGTAGTATATATATACATATTATACCTATTATATATTAATATACATTAATGATGTATGATGCATTTAGATGTGTTTATGGGGCTTAAGAAATTATAATAAAACGCAGTATTTACTCATTGATTATAAGAAATAGAAAAGTAGATAATGTAGAAAAAACATATATTATGAAAATAATTATACATTAAAATTATATTTCTTGAAAGTATTATATATTGGTAAATAAATTCGTAGTTTTTTGTGCTTTAATAGTAATTTTAATGAAACTACAATTTGTTTGTTTAGATTGTGGACGAAAAAATTATATTCAATTCGAAAAAGCTATGTTTCGCGTGTTCCAAAAATTTAAGTAATATTTCATGTCGTTATAAAAGAAACATCAGAAAGACATACTCTATATTGTAAGTACACTACGATAATTTGTGCTTCCATATAATTATTATGATATTAGCTATAAATTTAGCGTATTAAAAATTTTGTTAGAATGTATGATTGCGAATTTCCACGTGCTTTTATAAGATAGTATCAATTAAAGTTAGTGATGCAATGGTTGAGAAAATCGTACTTCGGAGGTATGCCTACTCTAATTGTAGGACGAAAGTGTATAAGTTTGTTTGTTCTATAATCACATTGATAATTAAATTATTTTTGATGATATGTATTTAGTATGCATGTAGATTAGAGACCGGACTATAAAGTATAATACTATTAAGCCTACTCAAATGCACTGTGTTAATTTTTTTGATGCTTAAATATACTTTTCAATATTATATTCGTATTTAGAATAATTATGTTAGATGATCCAGTATTAAATGATGTTTTATTAGGATCTTTAAGGTTGTACCATGGTTTCTTATCATGATGTTAGAGCGAGATGGAGGTCTACATTATATAAAGCATTGTCTTACTCTAACTATCGTGGTCGTATCCATAGTACAACGATTATGAACATAGTGATTTCAAACATCTGATCTGATTCAATGTGCCATGAATTATGTGCAATATGTATGTTACTTTGAAAGGATTATGTAAAATTAGATGGTAATTTATTTATTTCAATAAATAGTTAATAATTAAAGGTGTTGTTATTTATTTTGCTACTAAATTATTTTACCTTTATTAAAATATTGAACGGAGGCACTCAGACATGGGTAGGTATAGGTTCCGAGGCCAGGCGTGGGTTGGATAAATTCACGCCTGCATTGCACGGCCTTGACTGTCTGGGGGTGTTGCCTAGATGTGCTCGGACATCGCCCCGACCGTGGAGTGGCCCATTTATTCCCAATAAGGAACCCATGCCGTCATGTCTGGTCGAGGAGGGCATATCCCGGAGTTTTAGTGGGTAGGGTCCCCTATCCCGTGCTGCCACTGAGCCATCCTTAAGGTAGACTGAGAGAGGAGTCCCACATAACCCCGTCGCTTTACCTAGCGGCGGGGATCCGAGTTTTACGCCCTCTAGTTGAGCCGACCCCCTCAGCTTCGAGTGGTCTAGAGGCTCCCAGGGACTCCCCACGGGGGGATGCCATCCCCCTGGAATACCTCTAGAGGCAATCGCCAATTCTCGGCTTGAGGTCCCCTTAGGATCTCGTCGTCCCCAAACCCGGTGACGCTGTAAAGGTCATCTGCGACCAACAGCATACATACTTAAAAAAAAGCGGCGGGGTATGCGTCATTTTTTCATTTCATCGGGTCAAAAAAAGGTAGATATAGGTTATAGAAAATTACTCTGCCATTAAAGGAAATGTCTCATTGTACTTTGCCAAACTCTTAATCATTTAAACAGTTCAAAGCTGCACGATCATGTATTTTGTACTCGCACGATCTTTGCTGCAATATGTGTCGGAGTGCACAGACAGCGTATATTAGAAATCTTACACTACATAAGTACGTAGAGTAAGATGGTGATATGAACGACCCACCCACATCGCCATTCTCTATTGATTTATTTCTTTGCGGCTATTGGATGGATCACCAACAATTCACTATCCCGAACTCTTCTGTTCCCCGGAAGGCACGTTAAGCCGTTGGCCCCGGCTGCATTTGCAGTCGTTAGCATCCATCAACTAGGACTGGCCCCACGTGGGGTGGTAGAAGATGGCCAAATCTCCCCTCCATCCATCCATAGCGTAGACCTTTGTTCTAGCAGTGGGGATATTAATAGATGATGATTCTATAAGAAAACGATTTCCATATAGTACTCGTAGCCTATTTAAGAGAAATTAGGGTATAGCAGATTTTCCACTTGAATTTGTGCACCCGGCTGGGTAAGTAATCTCCACCTCACAGAAGATCACAGTCAAACAACACTACCTTTTGGCGGTGT